TTCGGCGAATTTCAAAGATGGCAACTGCAACCGGCCACTAATCCGATAACTGATTTTCGAGAGCTTCAATCGCAGCGATCAGTCAAACTTTTATACGAGCTTCAACAATACATTGGATATCTAGGCAACCACCCTCGTCGACAAATGCTACCACGCCGTACCTTATCAGCAACCCTCTCACCTTCCTAACGAGGCATCTAGGGGTGGCTGCTAGGATCCAAGTATTTCCTCGTAACCCAATATTCAGCATGCTACCAATTTTTCAGCTTCGAGAACCTCCATCAGACCATCCTGCCGTCCAGTTACAACCGTGCATACAAATGTGATGAGAGATCGAATCTCCGAGACAGAGGGGGCGCTTGGCCGTTTATGGCTCACCAATCTACAGAGGACGTTTGGGTGGCTGGGGTGGTATTGAGAAGAACATTCTCTTGTTGGCACGACTTTCATATGTGGTTTCTAGACGTGCCGAGGCGACTTCCATGCATTTGGGGGTAGTTGACCTCGAAGACGTCGGGATAACATCAGGGGTCAAAGCGGCCCTTGAAGTCTGGTACAGAAACAGGCAAAACCCTTGGCATTACAATGGGTATCGTGGTTTGGTAGGGACGGGGAAGAAAAGAGCCGCAGATAAAGTGTTGCACCTTGATGCGCGATCAACGGCCCGGGAACGCCAAGATGTCACAGATTGCACAACAACCAAAAAAGGTCAAGGGTTAACAACCAACGAAGACATCATCATCCCTTGAACAGAGCTGCCTCTGTTGTTAAGCGACCCCGCGTATCTTTGCCCGCTTCATCAAAATGTTTTTCGATGCTACACTCCAGCTCCGTCGTCTGTTTGAACCTCCACTTCCCCACGATTGAAGCACGGTCGTGGAGAGATCCCTGCTGTAAGGGACAACCCACCCCTGCTCATTGTTGACATTACCGCGAAAGTCGAGAGAAAGCGCCGGGATGTCCGCAACCACAAGGTGACGGTCGGCAGATGTTGGTCAGGATGTCTGCTACACCAGCCAGGTGGGTCTGTTTCACCCATAGTTGTCGATGGTTTGAAACCTCTTTTGGGCGCCTAGACCCATTGCCCAAAGTAGGAAGTGGCCACAGGGTTTCCAATCGGACATCCACATATCAAAAAGCAAGTTAGAGCTGATACCAAGGGTATAGTACCTCATAGAAGCCAATATGTGCTCCCATAAGGCTCTGGCTCACTTGACTACCCCAAGAAAGCTTATTTTCAGATTGTAAAGACTACCACCCGAACTCTCACGAGTTTCGCCAAAATCACTTGAAGCTTGTTATGAAGCTCTCAAGATCATGCAAACACCAGTAACTGCTGATGTTGTCTGGAGGTTACAAGGGAGTCCGCCAATACTTGCCTCTCTTGACGCAGAATTATGGCGGTCCACTGATAGTCGCTGAATACCACGAAAGAATGGTCTCAGGAATGTGAGAAACCAAAGATGTAGATCCGGATGACGATGATACTTGTCAACGAGCTAAGGCTCTTCACGAGGACCAAGTCTTGTTGCCAACAAACTTTCCCCTTACCACTGATCTCGCAAGATCCCTGATCGAAGTCGTTAGGGATGCAATTCCGTCACCTATCCTTTGCACGACTCGCGGCAACTCCTGCCTGGCAGTACGTGTCCTGGCGTGACCGTGGGAGAGTCATAGTATAAGAGAGAATATTCTAACTTTTGCCCAGAGCTTTTTGGCCTGCATGGTTCTTCCCATTGTGTAGTGGTGTTATCTTGTGGAGTTGACTGTCCTCAGGAGGACTTATATTGGCTGTGCCATTTCCATTCTCACCTTCGATCAGTTATTTTTGACTCTTTTTCTTACTTTTTTCCCCCCTTCCTTCGCTCGACTCTTTCACTCTGGAGTCCGTGGAGGTTACTCTCCTTTTGTTTTCTGTCTCTTTTTGAGCACCCGCTGGGCGGAGTTGCATTCACTTCCGTTCTCATCAGCTTTTTTGCTTGTTTAATTTTTTTTTTCTAGACACAAGGCCAGGTGCCTAATCCATATCCAATGTCTTCGCCACAAACGAGCCCGGCGCCGGACGCCGGTACGAATATCATGAACAGCGGAAAGCCAAAGTGTGGTGGCGGTGAAGAAGTCGGCGAGTACGATCTCGGCCTTCACGTTGCGGGTTTGTGTAAGTTTAACATGATGCGAGCCATAGGCCGTAATGACCAGAGAATATTTGAACTGATGATATTACCAGTTTTGGTCATGCTGTTCTCTATCCTCGGAGCTGGGTTTCCGGTCGTGGCCAAGAAAGTGTCTTGGGTGAAGGTGCCAACGAAGGTCTTTTTCATGTGCAAGCACTTTGGAACTGGTGTCCTGATTGCGACCGCCTTCGTCCATGTAGGTCACTCACATGCACTCTGTTCCATCAATTCAGCAGGAACGAATATAAGTGGCTAACTTGCACAACAACCTTACAGTTACTCCCAACGGCCTTTGGTAACCTGATGGACCCATGCCTTCCGGATCTGTTCACAACCCAATACCCGGCCATGCCGGGCGTTATTATGATGGGCTCTATGTTCATTCTGTTTGTCATTGAGATGTGGCTTAACAGCAAGACCGGAGGCCACTCCCACGGAGGCCCCACCGGATTTGACAACCACAGTCACGGCGGCAATTCTCTCGCCGCTGCCAAGGCTTCCCTTGCGCAAGGTAATGGCGTCAATCGGCCGTCCCAGCACCGCAGGACCAATACAGAGGATACCCTCTTTGAGTCTTCCAACGAGGATATCGACTACGAGAAGGCGATGGCCCAGGAACTGTATGCAGAAAAAGTTCGCCGCAAGGCGTATACCCAAACCCCTCCCAGGAACCCCTTTGCTAATGACTACGATGACGATGATCATTATGAACAACTCAGTCCTAGATCCGAAATGCCTCCTTGGTTCATTATTTTCTATGAGCAATACGTACGCCAGCGTCTGGAGCTGGTCAACATGATCAAGGCCACTGCCAACCGGCAAGAAGCTTTCCTCCCCCAAGCGGATACCACCTCTAGCTTCAACGAGGACCGCAAGTCCCTAATTCCCGCTTCCATCATGGACTCCCCCTACCGTGACGTCGAAACCGGAGAGCCCGTGCACCCACTCGTCTACAAGAAGATGTCCCTCAACATCACCCTCCTTGAGAGCGGTATCTTGTTCCACTCCGTCTTCGTCGGCATGACGGTTAGCATCACCATCCAAGGTTTCACCATTCTGTTGATTGCCATCTTGTTCCACCAGATGTTTGAGGGTCTTGGTCTTGGTTCCCGTATCGCTGCTGTCCCATACCGTCAGGGAAGTCCCCGCCCTTGGCTCCTCGTGGTGGCTTTCGGTACTACTGCCCCCATCGGTCAGGCGATTGGACTATTGGCAAGGAGCTCGTATGATCCGAACAGCGCATTTGGGTTGATCATTGTGGGAGTGTTTAATGCTATGTGAGTTCCTAGTCCCATTTCCCCCCCCTCCCCCCTCTCCCCAAGGAGATGGAGCTGGAGTGAAGAGCATCACGGCTAATTGTAAAACAACAAAAAAAAAAGCTCCTCTGGTCTTCTCCTTTACGCTGCTTTGGTCGATCTCCTGGCTGAGGACTTCTTGTCTGAGGAGGCTCAGAGGATCATGACCAAGAAGGATAAGATCACGGCTTTTATCTTTGTTCTTCTCGGCGGTAAGTACATATACACCTTCTTCTTTTTTTGGTCTATCGGGTTTGTTTCTAGGTAGGAAGAAGCTTACACTCGTGGCTCTACAGCTGCCGGCATGTCCATCGTGGGAGCATTTGCTTGAATGAACAAATTGTACGATATGCTATCAAATATATGGCGTTTCGCTCATATAATAACAGAAATACGTTGCGTGTGGGACTTGAACGTTTTGGCGTCGTTGAGTGGTGGTGGTGGTGGTGATGTGGGAAGTTTGCTTGGATACAAATTTGATGTAAAGCTATTTCCCAAAGGACTGGCGTCGTTTAGGTCTTGGGGGTGATGTCCAACCCAGGAAACTGCATTTATCCCGTGACCCATGGGCAGCTCGTCCGCCCTCTAGAATACATTTAGAGCTTGAGACTAATTTTCAGCTTCTCTCTCGCGCAGTCCAGCACTGGGTGGAGGAGGGGTCTTACGGTCCGTAAGTACTTAGACACTTCGAGAATGATCGTTGTGTGACTGGTTTCGGTTGCAATATAACTCTCGATCAATTGTCACGCCCAACGAAACGTCTGTATTCTTGAATGGCGACGATAGCTCCTCGAGCAGAAGGCACGGCTTGTTAAAGAGGAGAGGAAAGCACTACTGAAAATTTACGCAATGTCAGAAAATTAGCTTGGAAAGCTCGACGAGAAGACTGAAAATTCATACAAGAACGGTTCATTTATTGCGATCTTTCTGAATTCGTCTTGATCCAGTACAGACATTACCGCAAATACACCGAGAAGCATCAAGCATCATCAACAGCAAATATTGTGGTGAGTACGTTGAAATTAACCCTCACAGACAAATTGTGACATTGCTGACGGATCTGTAACCTATCAGTATAACCGACTTCGGCCTCCTTCCTCGTCACGGTCCTCGCAGGGTTTTATCCATCGAAAACACACAGTTCAGACGGCAGTATTCAAGCCAAGCAAAGAAACACAATGTGTGAACTACTACTACCATGTTACGATCCAACCAACAAGCTTAGATAGATTGACCAATCAGGAGGGTCCCGAAATAACGGGACTACGGGACCGGCTGAGAGCCAGTATATAAGAAGGCCTCCCGGCCTTCTTTATTATGGCTCTTCAGCAAGCAATAGCTTCTACAATCAATCAGTACCTTTTGGCTACTACTACCGTTGTCTATTGATCATCCCAGCGATATACTCCTGTGCTTGTAACGGTTCGTCACATACCAATACCACGCCCCCTGCGGTCACGGCGGAATCGTTAGTCTCAATTTCTGCAGAGCGCTTGGATCAACCTGCTTTGGGCCTGACCCCAGCAAAGGGATGAATATTACGCTTCCCCCCATCAATTCACGTTGCAGCGACTGCCACGCCGCCGCCCATCAACCCAACCCCGACGCCCGATTGGACGAGAACGATCCGTACAGAAAGGAGGCGCGGGAGAGAGCTGCGGCGTTGGAGAAGGAGGCGAGAGAATTCAGGGTGGAACAAGAAGAGAAGTTGAAGAGAGAGAAGGCGAAGCAGGAAGAGGAGAAATGGCTTGTTGCCGAAGTAAAGAAACTAGAAAAAGAAAAAAGGGAAAAGAACAAAAAGAAGAGAAAGGTCGCGGATGATGCTGAAAGTACAGAGTCACCCGCAAAGAAGGTTCGAGAGGAGAAGAAGGGGAGTGGGGGGAAGAAGGGGAATGAAGGGAAGAAGGGAAATATGAAAGAAATGAAGGGGAAGAATAAGGCGGAGGCGGAGGAGGATAAGGAAAATAGGAATGATAATAAGGATGATGACGGAAACGACAACGGGGATAACGGTAACGCTAGCGACATTTATGACGCTTGAGAGAACCAACGGACTTTGGCAACTGGGCTCAACCTCTTGAAAGCGCGGCTATGGTGGCTGCGCTTGTATAGTCTCGATCAGCGAACACTGAAGCTATGATGGCGGCCAGGAGCTGTCTTTAGCGCTGGGATCTGGGTTGGGATGAGGTAGGTTTTGGCTGGTACCAACTTGGGGATTATACAGGATGCAATGGCTGGACTATTACGGGATACATGATTGTTACCAGGCAAATATATGGATAATAGTGCGGTGCTCCTAGAGAGACACGCTGATGGAAAGGGCAGAAATAGTTGGGTTCAATGACTATCGCCAGGGAGAGATGTAATGAAGATTATTTCTACAATCACCTTGTTAGTGGTCTGTGGACCAAGTAACATACGCTTTGTGTGTAATCGAACGCACATTTGTTCGTTGGATGAACACATATCCGCTCCTTCCCATGTAGACTCGTTTCATTGCCCGGCAACGCAACCTGAGTGCCTACCACTGGCGACCACCAGCACCGGGGTTTATGTACTACCTCTTTGACCTGATCTTCCAACACCTCCGAATGGGACAAATGGTCAAGCAGTTCACCGAAACGCACACTTACCTTATCTGTCAACTGGGGAGACTCACAAGCCTCTAAACCCTCCCCGTTCGATTCCCAGCAACGATACCCAATTTTCCACCTCACTCCCAATGGGTCTCCCCTCCTCTGCACTCCTTCATCACACTCCTTCCCCCCCTATCACGTCCTTGACCATTGTTTCATTCACCTATTTTTTATCCTTTTTTGCTTTGCGACGAAAATGAACGAGGAAAGGAACGTTCATACTACAGGCCTCACTCTCACTTGGTCTAGAGCGGCGGCTGCGTGAGCAATGAAATTCTGCAGACCGGTGAGGATAAGGTAGTCATTGCAAGGCAAAGTATGACTGAGTGCAAAGTGTTTTAGCGGGATATATCAAGATTGAAAAAAAAGAAGAAGAACGGCACTTGCAAATTACATGAACAACTAGTTCGCTCGGGTGAGGGAGGCGTACATGACATGAGTCAAAAACCCATGACACTCCGTCCACTGAACGGGAACGTTATACCAAACTGACATGAACCTGCTGACAAAGACACACAAACTAGGTATAAAGAATCAGGCATCGATCAATAAAAGATATAAATTATGACAGAGTCGGAATAATCATTGTGTACGTAGGCAGCCGACCGTATTCAGACCATCAATTCTCAGAACCGTCCAATCAATCAATCAACATCACGAAAGATCCCCTCTTACTTACGACTAAAATGTGCGGAAATAACATCGAAATCTACACCTGCGGCCACAGCGTCTTCGCCGGCATCAACTTTTGCCCCGATTACTTCAAACTCACACAAGACAGAACCCCGATATGCCCCGGTATTGGCGCGAACAATAGCCATATGGACAATATCATTCGGCACGGAAGTATTTGTGAGGACTGTCAAGACAAGAAACAGCAAGCTATACAGAGAGAGGGTGAGATGGTATGGAGAAGAGGTAGGGCAAGGGTGGAAAAAGCAAGTAGGAAACAAAGGAGCAAGAGGGGGGAAGAAAGGGAATAGAGGGATAGGTAGGGGTTAGATAGAATAAAAGGGAAGAAGATGAAGGTTGAGAGGAGGGAAATACTGGTGAGGAAAAGGTGTAGGATGAAGAGAACTGAAGAAGGGGAAATACGAGGATGGGATGATGAAGTGGGCGTATGGGAGGGATAGGGATGAGAAATAGGCACATGAGACAAAATATATGAAGGGATTACGTTGGGCTTTATAGCAATGGATCCATGAACAATTTGCTCATTAGATTTGATGAACTCGAAAAAGAGAATTTCCATTTTGAAATATGCAAAATCTACTCAATTAAAAACCCACCACCCCCTTCTTCATCATCATTATCCATATCCATATAAAACTCCTCCGACACATCACTCGGCGCATCTGCCATCTCCCTATCAAACTGCTCCTCCTCCGTCTCTTTTCCCTTTTCTTTCTCTTTCCCTTTCTTGTCCTTTTTCTTATCATGTTCTTCTTCCTCCTCCTCCTCCTCCTCCTCCTCCCCCTCCTCCCCCTCCTCCTCCTCCACTTCCTCCTCCTCAACACCCCCAAACACCCTCTCCCTAATCCTCAGTCCCCTCAACATAACCCTCCACAACCTCAACACCTCCATCCTCCTCCTCTCCTCCCTCTCCTCCTCCTCCATATCCACCAACCCCGTAATCACCGCCCTCACCGCCTCCGCCGCCTTTTCGGGAACCATCACTCCCAAGATCCTCGCCGTCCCCTTTCTTCCCTTCCACTCAAACCCCGTCAACGCAGGCGCATAGTCCACCCCCAATATATGCGCCGCCTGCGCCGCTCTCTCATGCGGGATGTGCGCTCCTCCAGCAGGGACCATAGAAGGGACATACACCTCCACATTCCCAAACTTATTCTTCGGAATCTTCCCCGACTTGGAAACGGGCGGGGGTACGTACAGCTCTGTTTGCTGCGGAGCGTAAAGCGGTGTCCCGCCAGCTTTGGCAAGGGAGTAATCCCCGAACAGATCCCCTTCATCACCGTCGTCGTCGTCTTCATTATTAGTCTCGAGGAGAGAAGGAGAAGAGGATGATATCCTCTCCCCACCAAACTTGGAACTCCGTTTCCTCTTGGGAGGAAGAACTTTTACTGGCTCTTCACCGGGTTTGACTACGCGGCCGAGCCGAAACCATTTTTCGCGCGATCGAGCGACGACCACGTCTTTACGGCGGTAGATGCGCTCAATGGGGGCTTTGGAACCCGCTGACACTGTCCCTGTTGATTGAGCGCCGGGTAGGAGGACTTCGTTCCTACGAAGATGTCTCTCGAGCGCGTAGATGGGGTGGTCCTTGAAGTCCTGGACGTTGCGGGGCATGGGCTCTGCGCCCTCAAGAGCGGCGAGCTCGTTGAGCTCGATTTGGTCGAGGTCGGTGGGAAAATCGGTAGCGGTGTAGTGTCGCAAGAAAAGGCGGCGGAGCCAGCGCTCGCCTGTGTTGATCCCCGAGGGAGTAGTGGGCGAGATGGGCCCGTCGATGCGTTGGCGCTTGGTCTTGGAGTTGTAGGCTTTGGCGTAGCGGCGGGTGACGTCGCGGGCGAAGCCGTCTTCATCAAAGGCGATGGCGTAGGTGAGGCTGTTTTCTTTATCGGAGGCTGGGGGCTCGAGAGCACGCGGGCGCCATTGGGTGTTGGTGACGAGGGGGTCTACGGGGTGCCATTTTTGTTGTGCCTCATCGAGGACTTCTACCCAGTATATGGGGTATGGGGATTCCCCTTTTATTGTCTTGGCTTTGGGGATTTCGGGGCGGGAAGGGGGTGGTGGGGGAGCGGTCATGGACGGGACGTTGTAGGCTGTTGCGTTTGGGTGTCCGAGACGACTTCGGCCTGACAGGAATGCTGGGGTTCTTGGATCTGGAGTGGTGGTTGTATTGCCGTACTTGGACATTGCAGCGGCATACCGATCGGCTGCGGATGGTCCCTTTGAGGCATTTAAAGATTTCGTTTTCTGTTGTTTAGGCATCGTAGGAGCCCCCGGGACGCAAGAGAGTGGCTGAAGGGAGCATACAAGGCGGGCTTGGACGCCAATGGAACGAAGGAGTGCACAAAAGAGCTGGGCTCCAACATCACGAGAGCCGGAAAGAGATTTGGCGGCTTTAAGAAAGTCGTCTTTGGACTTGACAGTTTCGAGGTCATCTGGGAGTTGGTACTACACGGAAGAGGCGTATTAGCCAGCGACTCAAACGACAAAGGGTAACACAAAAGTAGAAAGAGGAAGTAAATTGCCATCTACATTTTTCAACTGCCCCTCATCTTCCGCCCACAATGCTCGCCGCAGTCCCCGTTCCGTGATCTGGAACTTCGTTTTAAACATGGTGCTCGTCTCCTGAAGTCCTGCCTTGAGTGATTCGGTTCGCCCGTACTGGTTCAAACTCGCTCTCGGTATTAGTGACTTTCGCATTTTGTCCGTCAAGAGCGCTCTCAGAGCCTCCTGGACTTTGGGACTGTTACACCATCTATTCCTCCGCTCCACATGCGCAAGAAGACAAAGGAGGTGGATTTTGTGAATCTCCCTTCGTTGTTCCTTCTCGGATTTGCTTAGTGCTTTTCGCCGCTCTACAACTCTTCGATGAGGTGCCATTGCTGCTTTCTGGGCGCTCAAGTTCAGGTCTAGCTGAACATCGCCTGCTACAGCCGAGGAAAATGCGCCCTGGGAATCGAATGCGATATCCTCCAACTCCAGCTCTTCATCGTCTTCATCGTCTGAGTCTCTAGTAATGGTCTGTAAGGTGGGTGGTGGTAACTCGACATCCTCAAACTCAAGCTCCTCGTCGTCATCGTCTTCTGGGTTATCATGATCCGTCGTTGTGGGCTCCGGTATTACAGTTGGCTTGACTGGCTTCGTCTCGACCTTTGGCGTTTGTCTCTCTCCGGGCCTTCTTCGCTTCAGTGGTCTCTCTGGCGTTGTAGCTTCCGGGAAATCTTCAGCAACAGCCATGCGCCGTGCCTCAGAAACCATTTCTCGGTACACATCGGGAACTGCGCTACGGGCTGACGCCGCTCTCCGCGACGCTGCGCTGGCGCGAGTAGTTCGGGGGGTGCTGGTGGTGGTTGACGCACCAGGCGCCTTACGTTTTCGACCTGCCATGAGTTAAGTTTGGAGCAAATGTTAAAGCAATTAAGACAGAAGTTGTGAGTTGACCAAGTCCAAAAATCTCTGGACGGGCAAGACAGGTGGGACGGTGATTGATTGTCGTTGTCTTTGTCAGCTTTGCGCGGTTCCTCTCATGCCAGATGACGCAACGTGTTTGTGTAAAGACACGAAAGCACGTGATGTAATAATGACTAATCAATCGCCCTTGATACCATACCGTATGATACGTTCCCTGAAACTTTCACTACTGCTGGTGTATCTTTACATCTCAAAACGGATGCTGGAAACATAGGGTAATCATCACTTGTTCTTGGCACATGGAGATATCTCTGAATCCATTTCTCGACTAGCTTTTCCCCGACTAAAGAAAAATATTTTTCGTACACTTGAGCATGGTTTTCCCACTTGTCTCTCTACCTGTTCTGTTCATCATCGTTTTCTATCATAATGGTTTGGGATGCAGACAAACCAGCCCAGTCACCACAGAGACCCTGAACCTCCTCGAGCAACTCGGCCGAGAGTCCAGACCGAGACATATGGAGTTGCCGGAGCTACGGCAGCCGGGACGTTCTTGTAGGTCATACCTCTGACAGTTGTAAGTAAGGACCAGACGGGCAGTATCGAGGGGACCAACTTCGCGAAATAGCCGGTCGTCTTTGGCCGGGTTGTCGAGGTAGCGACCTGGCTCGCATCACCGCACACCGGATGGCTTATAAAGGCTTGACCTTACTCCGCGGCCAAGTAGCAGCAACGAGTGTTCAGTCGACGTGTTTGATGACATGGGAAAGGGGGCCCAGGGCGGTGGGTCCATCGTGTTGTTTTCGTTGAGTGAGGTCGAGGACAAGGGAAGTTCTTCCTGTCCTCCCGATGATGAGCGAGGCGGTTGAGCGATGAGTGAGGGACCTATCGAGTGGATCACATGCAAGCGTCTGTCACACGAGAGGCTATCAGTCACGAAGCTCAAGATACTTGGACGGGAAATCAGACAAGTCACTTACAGCCTTAATGATGCTGTTCCACGATAGGGTTCAGGCCGCACACCACTTGATAGAACGCGATGTGGTGCTTCAAGTCGTCTAGAGCCGCGTCCAACACGTGCTCGGCCTCCATTATTGCTTCCCTCCATAGCGCCTCCAAATTCTCCACACTCCTGAGGACTTCGGGCGGCGGCCCACTTCTCCTGGCACGGAGACGTGCACAATGGAAGTCAATATAAACGGTCTTTCTGATGTTGAGGAGATACCTGAGGCTCTCCGAAAGAGGATCGATTAACTGGTTGAGAATCCTCTGGGCCTCTTCACGGGAAGCCGTGGCCGGTGTCGCAACTCTTATCTCCTGGACTCTCGCAGGAAGGATCCTCGTTTGGTTCTCTATCTCGTATATGATGTCAATGTACTTTATCAGCCCGCGTGGCGGTTGAGCTATGCGCCCGGACTTGACTCCGGATTCATAGTCGTCGATGTAACGTTCATGTCCTGTGGCCATTTTGATTTGTAGGTAGGTACGAAAGAGACAGGCTTTGAGTGATGTGAATCTGAAGGTAATGTGGTCGTATGTGCTGGGGTGATGATACTGTATGGGTAGCAGGACAGAAAGCAATGCCTTCTTGGTGCAAGGGACATTCAGGTATTAATACCTCTACACTTGGTTACAATCAGCCGCTCACCCAGTCCTCAGGCTTTCTCAGGACATGCAGTTTTTCACTAAACTCGCGTAGCGTGGCAGCATGATAGATCGATGCACTCTTGATGAAGCCAGGTAACTCCTCAATTTCGCGATGTCCGTGCATTTAATAATCGAGAAGGCTGCCTGTGGTGCATCTGGCATGTCCCAAAACCCAGTCTGGGGAGTCACTGTGGTGGTTGTCATTGGTTAAGACGACCAAATTCTACCTACCTGTGCATACATATAGATCAAGATGTTGCAGGCCAGGCTTTTATCAGGATGAGAAATACTGCTGATGCAGAATCAAGGCACTTCAATCTCTCACGGAGTTCCGATGCCGCGACAGTTTCTGATCAGTATTTCATGACTGCAGTGCCTCAACAACCGCACAATGCTGTTCAGCATGTTTTCAGGTTATTTCCTCCAGGATCGGAGGTCCGTAACTGGCCTTTGGTGGCGATAAATGTACGTTGGAAGCACCGCAGAAAGCTATAACTTGGTCTGCCTTGGAAATATCAAGCTGGGCGAGATTAGGCACAGGTAGCCGTAAGTGTGAGCAGGTCTTTTCGTTGTAACACTCAGCACGGCTGAGTGCTATGTGCATATTTGGCTTTACGATTCTGCTGAGCACGCATCTTGTTCGGTGCCGAAAATATATGTTCCGAATCAGCAAAGACAGTACCGAACGAATGCTCATCGTTGATGAGCTGAGTAACATGGCTGTCACGGTCGAGGAACTAATCTAAATCGAGGTCCTTCTTGATGTGCCCGGATTTGAGAGCAAAGTTGCGCTCATCCCAGCCTTCTACCCGCTTTTGGGGCTCCAGCGGTAAAGAGACGAGTAGCGAATGTCAACATTCAACAGCCTTCTTGGTCTCCTGGAGAGGAGGATGGTGAGAGCAAAGTCATGCTTGTTGACGTAGTCAGTAGCTAAAGGCCACCACCGCACAGATTACGGTTTTGCGGATGGCTTCGTCCAGGTATTTCCCCAAAAATATTATACAACGATTGCTAACGTACTGCATTTCATTTTCTGTTTGAGGCATATAGCATGCCGGGAATATCCCCATGGAGGATTAGTGCTGCAACTTTCCTCAACAACTTGTCCATCTCGTATAGATATCCACGCATTCTGTACCTCTGAAAAATATGATGATGCCCAAAGATTGAGTCACAGGCAATTCAAGGTCAAACCAAGTTAGCAGACTGATTAACACTTGCTTTTGAGAAATAAGGCCATATCAGACTTGACTATACATACCACCGGTTTGAACTGATTTGATTGTCTGATTTACGTCAATGCCTGTATCAACCTGGCCACAAAACACCCCCCTTTCCCGGACACTTGCAGTCTACCGAGTCAGGACGGGAGACAAGGGCACATTGATACCGATATGCTCAGTAGGTGCCGAAACCACTTGTGCACATTTACTACCTTCACCTATACATGTCCTTGACATGTATTGGCATTACCTCTATTCACATGCGGCGCACTTGGGTAGGAGTTTGCAGCCAGTTCGTGGTGCTGATAGGAGGGTTCTTTGGAGTTCAAAGGGTGGTTTATTAGATGAAGGAAGAAGACTAAGACAAAAATACCCAGAAGGGCACCTAAAATACCCCGTCAACAACCAGGACACCATTGACCTTCCAAGTTGCTTTGAGACGTACCGAGTAAATTGAGACCTTTGGGAACCAAGTCAGAAACATGA